TTGCTAAATGACTTAAAAGTACTGGCTTATCATTGATTTAATAAAATATATAAGGTTCGTTAAACCGAGCAAACGATTATTTCTTAAACCTGAACGATGAAACTTTCATATTACAGCAGTTGGTGACTAGAATTCATGAATAAACCAATCAAACATAAGATAGCGGCTCGTGGATTTTGGTGCAAAATTCATGTATCCGTATGACTAGATAGACTTTTGAAATTATAGCCTATGTCAGTTCGGGAGGCAAACCCTGATCTCTGAATTTAACTTGCGATCTTAATTCCTCACAGTTATTTATGACTCTAGTAAGTGTCTGAAGTTTATCAAGGCCACTTAAGTATCATTAAAGTCTCACTGTATCCATCGCGATACTTGATCCTATGGTACATGTGCATTCGGTAATCCAACAGTGATCACGGAGTGGTTAGAAATCGATTTTATGTTAAATCTGTAGTTAACATACTAATCTAGAATGATCTACCACTGGTTAATGGATTACTTATAAACTTTAGGAATGAAGATGGATAGATTATAAACACGTTTGTCAATAAACTCTGAAGGTTGCATCCCAACAATTGTGATTAATTGAACTGAAGTATATATATATATATATATATATATATATATATATATATATATATATATATATATATATATATATATATATATATATATATATAACTTGTAACTAAATGATAATTAGTGCTAATTATTGTATAAGGCCTGTAAAATTTGCAATCCATTTAACACCAAAAAATTTATCACTAATTGGTAAAGTAACTGTTTTAATACAATAAGTATTGATTGGTAATTAAAAAGTGAAATTATTTAAAAAACAATTGATGATTTGAAAATTTCTTGGATTTCGAACACAATAAAGGTATCTTTTATATATATATATTTATTCATTCATGTTGTTCTGTTGATATTAACAATACCATCATGAGCACAACAAGTAGTTTTATTTGTTACGATAGTGGGCAAATAATTAGTTGACAAGCAAAACCACTTCAAGGGATTCGATAAAATATCACCATTCCTTCGGTTAACGAGTAGTTATTGCCACTTATGTACTATATTTTTATATTTTTCACACATGTCGAGTAAACAGTTAACTGAGATACCTCTTGTCCAAAAATTACTGTTACTTTATTGATACTTGAAATTTCAAACAGACCGTAAATAACAATATCATCCTGTTTTCCAATAGATTATTATGTATGTTACGTCAAGACAAATGTGATGATACATATATTAGACAGATCTTGCTGTCGTCAATACCATTTTCAACACTGAAGTTGCTAACCTTCCTCCTCCTAATGACGCAATAGATGAATTATATTGTTTCAATTTAACAAAAGTGAAGGAGAAGTAAAAAAAGGCGCTAACAATAATCTGTTAGTAGGCATTAGGAGTTAGAAAAAGAGGTTAAGACCAACGTAGAACAAAGAATGAGATTCTGTGTTAGTGAATTTATCGTTCGAAACAACCGAATATCGGTTTTAGCGTACGAAAATATTTGGACTAACTTAGCTAATCATTTCACTAATGACTTACTTCAAAATGCTCCTGAATTTTCAGTGAGAATTCATGATTAATACAGTTCAGATGTATCGGGTATGAAACAGTTATCTTATATTAGAACTAAGAAACTGTCCAATACCTCTTGGTTTCCACTGGTACTTGAATTGAGACCAGTTTATATAGAATACAACTTAAAACTCAAACAGATTTCCATAAAATTCTTTCAACTAGTCTACTGAATTGTTGTCTTTTCTGCCATACACAAACGACTGATTCTCAATCCATTTGAACCAATTCTTTTAACTTGAAAAATACTTTTAAAAATAGTTCTTATGGAGCTATGCAACCAAGAAGACTGAATTTAGAAGCTTCTGTAGGAACTATGTAAGAGGAAAACTGTTAACCATAACAAATACACGACATCGAATGTAACAATTAATTTGAATTAATCTCTTTTCAGGTTTGCTTTTGGTACTTATGACACATATATACTGTGCTAACTTTCACGTTAAACAGATCGCTGATGTCTATTGTACTGTCCCCGCTGTATCAAATATTGATATACATTAACAACTAAATGTTTGTCACATACAAGTGTGAATGACTCAAATATTGATCGCAGATAAAATAATTTTAAGAAGTGACACAAATTCCATAAAGAAGAATTAATGCACACTTGCTTACAAATTTCAATTTCTTGGTACAAATCAATCGAGAATGACTCACCAGTAATAGGTTCATTCAGAATCTGTTATTGATTATTTTCTTACTATAATCGTTGTAATTATTTTTGTGATTTTATTTCAATTTTGGCTTTTTATAATTTAATTCCCTCGATTCCCAGCAAAAAATCGATTGACGCTGTCACAACTTACTAACACTGACTTGATTTTTGAAATAAAACTTACTGATAAAATGTTCCCTCCTTTATCTGGGCTTGAGACCGTGAGTAACTCTAGAATTCCTCCTCGTATACAAAAGAAAAAGCAGAAGAATCCAGTGGACAGCAACCATATCACACTTGATGGCAAAGCTCTGAAAGAGGTGGATGCTTTCACAGTAACACTGATAAACAAAGATGAGGATCTGATGCAAGCGTGATGGCGTGAACCAAAAGAACTGTTAGCTAGCGCTAAGTAAGAGCTTCCAAGAACAATTTAAAAGTAACTGTAGTGAATGGAGCCTAAATGGAGACTTGCTACAACCATCATCAAAAATATTCAGATATTCGTGAACAGTTGTTCACTCAAGATTCTGCAGATCTATTGATGAGATACCATCGACAACAACCTACTGTGGCAGGGAATGAAGCAGTTTGTAGTTGAAGAGGAAATCAGGAGATGCTGAAGGCAAATAGAAATCACCTGACGGAAATCATTAAATTGCATCGCAAAGCAAACTCTAACTTGAAGTCTTCAAATCGAAGAGAAAGGAAGAACAAAGAACATGCTGCTCCAGAAATAGGAGTCAGACTACAAAAGAATGAACAGCACTTGATAGAAATTTGAAGTGACAGCCAAGGACACAAATGGTTGGAGGATACTGGTCGGCAGCCTATGCCCCATGAAGAGTGACAGGTATTAATATGTAAGTAGTACAATAACTAAGCGCCTATTGCCAGGTAACCTGATGATGATGTTATTAGAAACAATTGTCTCCTTTGAAATTTCTAGTTTCGAAATTGATCCGAGATATAATTGATGCAGTTGGTTTCCTTGACAAGATTTTCAAAAATATGACTAACTCATTGTATGACTTCGCCTTCTTTTCAGCTGATGAGATAAGTTATTTCGAATCATTCAAAAAAAAAATAAACTATCTGTCAACGAAGAATAAGTTGTTTGTTATGTTTATAAAATAACGAATTAAAGTTGTATTATAGTTTTTGTGGTGGAAGTACTAAAATATTTGAGAAAGTCTTAATATGTAATACGAAAATAACCCGAAGAAATTTATGAAGAAAGATACATACATCTATGCGAAACTTATTAAGTTGTACTTATGATTAACTCCAAGAATATGTAACTGGCAGAGTATGATAAATGTATTACAGAAGTTCAACTTGTAAAATTAATCAGGTTGTTATTAATACAATAATTCTTCGATGATACGATGCGAATTTTGCATAACATCACACAAAGTTTTAACGAAATTATGGGTTTTTGGACTGTTTCTCGGTGGGTTAACACTATTACTTAGCTTGTGAGTTTTATACTAATGTAAAATGGTTGATCGGGAGGGCGGAGCATGCTACTATTAAATATTGGACTAAACAACCGTTCATAACTTGGTTGTTATTAATAACGATTCTGCAGACATCCGTTTCAAATAAGTGTTAAATTTCAAATCATATTTATAAATATTAGTGTTGTTTTTCATCTTGTGTTATTCTCTAATGAAGGGTTGGTGTTTAGAATAAGTAAGTAATTTCAACTAAATGACTGGGTATTGAGATTAAGTAGTAACAAACATATATTGGCTACCATTAAGTTTTACTTCATTAGATTCCTGAAACTTTAGGAAATAAATCACTGCATGATAGTTATTACTCATGGCATGAATCATACTTGTCACTGTAGTTTTATTACTCTCCAACTTTCATTCCTCAAAGACAAAGTTTTCGAAATCCTTCTAGATGCATAGCTAATTGAAATTTCGAATAATAAACTGTTAGTATCAGGAAAAAAATTGTTTTTTTTAACCAAAAACTCAACAAAATCACTTTAGTCATCCCTGTGAACAAGCGGCTTACGTCTGCTTGGATAATAAATGGTGATATTAAAATACACTCTACTTACAAAGCATACTTTTAAAAAATATTTTATGTATACAGTCGAATATTATTTTTATAGCTGTATTGTGTTTTGGACAGAAATATAGATGAGTAAAAGCGAATCTTTTAACAATAAAATCCTAGCTGGTCTAGGGTGATTCTTTTGTTCGTACATGAAATATTCATTCTTGGAAAAAAACTGACTGAAATTTTAAATTTATAATATGTCTAGAGATGAATAATATTCACAAATTATTACATAAAACTCTTATCCGAAATGAAAGAATGTTGCATAGATTTTCATTGCAGTACAGATCGTGATAATGATCGAAATCGGTGTAATCCACTACAAAACACCGGGTGTTCTAGTGGGAATAAAAAGTAATACTTGTTTCATTTGTTAACGAAAACACTGAACATTATACAATGTCAAGTAGTGCCCGAGGGCGTACATTCAAATGGTGAGTGGGCGAATAATGATAATTGATCGATAACATAATATAATCTACTTCAGATTGGTTAATTATGGCCGAATAGTTAACGTCAATTAGCCTCAATCTACTATTGGTCTAAATTAATGTTTTCTGTTTAAATCATGTAGCAATCAAATTTTGTTGATTTGCTTACGCCCACATGTGTTGTCTTAGTCTACGACACTTTAACGTTGATCATTATTTGAACGCTGCCACCCTACAAGTATTTGAGCGATACAAAGCAGTTAATGACATTAATGTAACCAACCGTAGTGTAATTAAGTAATTTAAACAAAAATAAAGAATTATCATTGGTTAAATGTTTAATTAAAAACTAACCAAATGTCCATCAAAGTATCTTGAATAAAAAATAATTTTTTGATTGTAAATTTGAACAATCATTCGCAAATATTTTACTAATCGGATAGACTAATATTTGTACAAATATTCAGAATATGAATTTACAAGAAGTAGAATGTTCATATGATGAAATAACCTCATCAACACTCAAACTTATCATGGAAATTTCAATAAACAAGTTGAAGAATTTTCAAAACACATTACAGTCACCAACAGGACCATTTGTAAAATCAACAGAGAATAAGAACAATTTGTTATTGAATAACTCTAACAGATCAATTCCATCTGAATCATCCCAACGTGTCATTTCAAAAACCACATCTAACAGTTCTTCACCAAGTAATCGCTTATACAAGATTATGGTAATTTTAAAAATAGCTAAAAAAGCAAGAACTATATTATTAGATCGACAAACATTAGATACACTAGAAACGGATGATAAGTCGATCGATGTACAGAATATTTCCTCTTCTGAAAGTGAATCAAGCAATAATTCCTATAATACACAACAATTTGATGATGTAAAACAAACAAATACTACTGATCTGAGCTCTGTTCAAACAAATATTTGTTCAGAATTAAATGTTACACATCCAAATGAAAAGAATGAACAAATGTGTAAAAGTATCCATGAATCTGGTTCAAATAACTCTACAGTATGCAATAACAACAAAAGAGCATTTAGTTCTAAACAAACTCCTGTGATACCTGAAAAACGTGCATTTTTAAATTTTCAAAGCGAAAATCCTGTGAAATGTGATAGATCATTACATGAAAATACATCGAATTTAATGTACCATCCAAATGCTTCACACAATACAGGGAATATTGAACATGGTTCAATTATGCCAATATTTAATAAAGATGATAACGAAGAGGAGATTGAATATGACGATGCTCATGATAATGATGTCATTATATACCCAAAATCTTATCCACTATGCAAATGTAGATTGTCAATTCCAAATTCTGAAGTATGTAGTTTAGGAAATAGTCGAATTTTACCAAATGAATTATTATCGAATACTTCACATCAACAAATAAATCATTCAATAGATTATGATAATATTAGTAATGATTATCAACCAGATATGTGTATTTGTCTTTCAAATTCATCAAATTCACGACCATTGATTACTGGGATAATATGAAACAATGCATACAGTATTACTTATTCATGTATATTGTAAATTAGTATAAACAGCTGTGATATAAGACCATATTTATATTCGTATCAATGTATACAGTTTACATGTGATTGTACATAAATTATGAGCATACCTATCAATCTCAGGTCTTAAATCATTCTCATTCAACTGTCTGATGATTATTCGTATCATCAGAAATGCAGAAAAAAGAACTAGACATCTGAATTGTCCTGTTGTTGGTGTTTTGTAAATGAAAAACCCTTTTACCTCCTTCCTGATATTTCAGTTCAGGCAAAGGAATGATCGGCAGACAGGAATAAATCAACAATGATCTATCTATCTGTGATCTATTCAATTTAGAATTTATTTGTTTCAATGATTTGAATTTTGAATATAAAACAAACTACTGTAATATGTATATATAAGTTTTTTTCCTAAATGTATATATTTTTTTATTTATATCTAATAAGGGGCAACATTTGTTGGTTTATCCAGTATTTAGATATAAAGCGACTGCAGATCACCAATTCAATATGATTCGTAGACATATTCATATTCAATTTATGTGTGAGTATGACTTCTGAGGATTTTCGCCAAAACGTATTTTCCAAGATAAACCTTTTAAATAATTAAAAGCTTTCAACAATTTTTTTCAAATTTTAATCGAATGATTTATTTGTATTTATTTATAAAACTTCGAAAAAATGTAGGCTGTCTATGATTTGTTCCCATTCACCCATAATTGAGGTTGATGCTTAATGTGAAAATATAATACATCAGACAGTTTAATAGTTCATGTTGCGTTAAATAAATAACTTGGTTATATAACGATAATCGATATAATACTTCTAAATAAACTAATCAGCTGTCTCAACGTGATCAGTACTTTTTCAAGAATAACACTAACCCCGTGATAAATTGGTCTTATCAATACAATTCAAATAATTTTGGCACTAGACTTTTCAAAAAATTGAACAACAAACTGAAACTTTAACATAATGAATTTTTCAAAGTTATCTGTGTATAAATGATGGTGCATTCGGTAGTAAAACTATAGTAAGGTGAAGTTTTTCATGAAATAAGAAATGCCTGATAAACATTATAGTGCCTTGTGATTGATTTACAAATGTCACATGATGTCAGCTGATCGATCTATGAATACAAATTAAGTAGGTCAATTCGAAAGTAATGGTAATGATTAGTTGATCCTAGTCCGAAACTAAACCATAATGTAGTATTCAAAAACAATCATACAGTATCATACACACATAGTTCTGTAAATCATATTGAAGATTTAGATGGAATAACATGAATTCATTACATCTCATCAGTTGTTTAAAGAAGATGGATGTGAATAGTTCACTATCTTGGTAACACAAACACAGCTTCGTTATATCATAAAATTCTGTTCAACTTTTGTCAATTGATTAAAGCATTGTGTATAATTTCAAACAATCTTCTAGATGAGTAATTTTAATTTATCGAGCTTGATTTATTTAATTCTTATTTGCATGTGTTCATTGTTTAATCACACTTTGAGCTCCTTGATCTTTTGTTTCAATCAATAATTTGCAATGTCTTTATATTCAATATTTGATTGAATCTCTGCTATCGATTTACATACTTGCTATACCATACTGATGTGTGTTCATAAAAGCTTCCAACTTTCAACTGATGAATGTAAATGATTTCAAGTCATTTTGTATTAATGATTTTCAAATCTTACAAATTGTAAACAACTGAGGAGAAAATGTAGAAATAAAGTAAACTTATGTTATTCTGTATAAATGTGTAATAATTAAATTGATAGTTTTGAAATGAATTACAAATTCATTTCAAATAAAATAACCTAAACATGATTTATTGAATAGCGAACAGATTTTCATTGCCGTTCATTAGACTTTCCATGCAGATACCAGATTATATTACACAGTATGGAATATCAAATCAAAATAAAGCGTTCAAAACTTCCTATTTGTAGATCAATCTATGCTGACTTACGTCATACAAGTAATTCAATCGATCTCATAAAATATTTCAATAAAAACTACTCACTCTCAGATTTATTGAGTTAAAAATAATTAGTTATGTTTGAGGTTGTTAATAATATATCTCATTAATACTGTTTAATTAATCTTTTATTTTAAAGAGATTATAAGTGTGTTTTTATGCATACAATATGATCAAAAAAAAAATAGTTCATTCCGATTGATAATCCACTAAAAAAAATAAGAATAAGACTTTTTCCAATAAATTCAATCCAAGTGCTACAATTATATTATTTAAAGTAATAATCCAAAAAAATGACCGTATTTAAGGTGAAATACATTGTTTATAAGTATCACATATTTGTAATACAAATTGTCAATGTTAGGATGACTATCTCATATGTTCACTTGACTAAGTTTAAATGTAAAATGAATTAGTGAGATTAATGATCAAAATAAATATGATTAACATGAGGTGAGAGGAATCATGATCAGGAATCATGTCATACAATGAATAACATGAATGAAATAGGAATTAGTTATTAAGGGTGGGCGTTGTATAAATTTATCGAAACGTTTGATGGCGTTATAATATTAACTGTAACAATGATCATATTATTAGTAATAGTAATAATAATCTCGTTAAGATTTGAGAAGTTACAAAAATCCGAGGACAGAGGTTGTATGAACAATCACCAGACTATAATCATCAAAATGATTATTAACTACTTAGGCTAGAAGTTGGTCAAAATGAAAGGAGTGGCTGAACGTATCTCTTCTGGATGTAAAGTTAATGCTTCAGCCGTATGAAGGATTCTTAGTCTGACGGTTCATTTGTATTAAGTGACATAGAGTTAACAGATTTAACTAAACGTTTGCCCAATCAGACTTGGAATCGCTCTCAAGCACGAAAATGCAAACACATAAAACATCTGCAACTTGCTTGGTAGGAACAGTTGGTTTGATAGATACGGAAAAAGATGGCTATTCCAGGTAAGTTATCTTTCAATCTCGGAGTGACCGTCGAACGTATGGAAACGAATAAATTGTAAAAGTTTATGCAGAAACGTTTTGTTCACAGTTAGGACTTTCGTATGTTCGCTTTTGATGACTAGATGTTCATTTACGGATTTCTCAGGAAACCAATTTTCTTTCAGAATAGTACGTATTTGTTTCTTTTGTACGTAGTTGTAATTCTATAATGAAGTGTCTTGATCACACTTCTTTCATATTGTACAGTAGTAAAAGTAAGAAGATTTACATATTGGCCAGTTCAAGGTTTCTTGTTAATGACCCATCTGCTCGTCTTGTGATTACAAGGCTAATGTGCCTCCATTTTCTACCTCACATGTAAATTTAATGGCCAGATAGACTTTATCAAAGCTCATGATTATCTCTAGCTGGTCAGTATGATTTTTAAAAGGATTAACCTGTCGTATCGCAGTAAATTAAAAACTTGTTAAAATGCTGTGCCATTGAACTGTCTTCTAGTTTAGCGAGAAAGATATCTTTTTATAATTACTTCGCGTAATTATAATTTGCTTTTTATCTTACTCAAATTAAATATTATTTGAAGATAAACCTTAATCTCTATGGATTAGTATCGTCTTAAACACCGTTGATGATGTGAAACCAATAATATCCCATCACATCTAAAGAATCCACAACAGTATTCATTGGACAAGTTGAAACTTTGAGGTTTCAAAATGAATATTAGAATACCGATTCGTAAAGTCCTATATGGGTACATTATTGGACAGTCAGATTACTGAGACGTAACTATTGTTACATAAAACAAATGTTTTCTTGTTTAGTCTTACGCAACTCACATAACAAAACACCCAATCCACATCTGTTTAAGCTAAAACTTATCACTTCAGAATTCACGTTTCACAAGAAGTTGATCGATTAAAACGTAAAGATCTTTTTGCTCACCTTAGATTCAAGAAATGATTGGTATATAAATAATCAACTGCTCATTAGTTGTAGGTGTAAAGTTAATTATTATTAAATGGCTTTTTATCATGTGACTGAGAAATTTACATTTATTTTTTTCTAGATTCAAATAATAAATTTCTTTAATTTAAAAAAAGTGTTGTTTTTTTTGTAATGCTTAATGTTACGTTAAAATATTTTCGATATAAATTTAAATTTTTTTAAAAAATACTTAAAAAATGGGCACACGTGTTGTTTTTTTTTAATGTGGTATTGAAATTGTACATCAAACACGTAGTACATAAGTAGATAAAGTTAAGTGTAAAAAAAGGGTGTGGCGAATGATAGTTGCATAAGCCAATAAATGGCTTGTCCTATGGAATTAAGTAAGCTAATATATTGATAAAATGAATTTTGTTTTTGAAAGTGATAGTATTTGAGCGTGAAGATACATTGAAGGAAAGAGGAACGAAGTCTCTAACATAAGAATTCTGTAGGTATGTTAATTAAAGCAAGGAACAAATTTAGATATATGTATAATTACCTGGGTTGTATTTATCATCAACCGATCTCAATTGCGGTCTCATAATACGAATAAACAGCTGTTCATTGCCCCCTGGTTTTAATCGGTAATCAAAGGGTGACCGATATGTAATAATTAGAGCCTACAAATTAAATCGATCACTATAAATCTGCCATGGCTAAATTACTGACTTGTTTGATATCTTAGATTATTTTATTTTCAAGAACTGACATTAGTTGATGAATCAGTGAAACTATAAAGCTAAGATTAGCAAAGGAAAATATGAAATCACATGACATATAACTTCATATCTGTTGAACAGGTCAGTGACTATCTGAACTAAATTTGCTAGTGAATAACAGATTGGCGTTCGGACTATTCAGTACTCAGTATTTGTCTCAGTATGAACATCATTATTAAGATGCTTGTACATTTGGGTAAAGGGTATCAAATAAGATTAACAATGGCGGCCGAATCCCATTGCAAGCTATGTTTCCAATATACTATGACTGCCTTATTGTTTTCGAAAGATTTTTTTTCATCAGCTTCAACCTTTAGACAACTTAGCAATATATGATTGTTATTATAGTGTATACAAACGAAAACCCGTTATCAGGAAGATTTTCTTTTACCTAGACATTGGTTATAAGTTCATGGACATATCAAAAATAATTATTAGCCTCATGAAATTAATTGTTGGGTTTTTTGATAAATACATTATTAACTTTACCATTTACGTATATCAGTTTCACAATTTTTTTTGACCTACTTTTTCATTGTTTACGTATAAATTTGGTCATTTTTTATTACTAAATTTGTGTATTCACCAGTTGCCTGGATTATTGGCTTACATTATCATTCATACAATTAATAATAATCATATTGTTTACGTGTAACACATTAGTATAGTATCAGTTGTGAAACACAACCCACGATAGAACACGTAACAAGATATTTTCAACCAATACAAATAAGGCAGAGAGAGAATGTGTTGAATAGATCATATTCCACAGTAAGGCTTTTCGTATTCATGACGAAAGATAAGTTGAATAGATAACCGATGAATTAGTGCATTGTCTGTCTCTGTGTTTGTGTGTCATATTCTCAACGTTTTTTTGATTAAACTGATTCTAAATATGTAATCTAATACGTAATAGCCTACCACACTGACGTCATCATATGTTTTAATG